CAATATGGTTCATGGGGTCACGAAGAGTCGGACACGACTTAATGACTAAACAACAACAAAGATAATGGTATTTGACATGGAGTGAATGGTTGCAAGTTATATATAAATGATGAAAAACTATAGCAACTAAATGAATTTGTAGAATGTTTACTAAAGACTGGAAAGTGGGTGGAGAAATTTTAAGTTGGGCAAATACTGGTAGAAAGGGATGGGATATTGGGTGAACTGTTACGAAGAATGTATGTTTGTTGAAAGAAGTTAAATGGCTGTGAGAAAGAGCACGCTTCTGCCAACTTTGTTATTATGAAAGTGAGAATTGGATAATTGAGGAGAAACATAAAATTTGAAGGCACTGGCAATATGATATTTAAGAAATTGAGCAGTGAAACAAGAAGAGATGGCTTAAGAATCTATAGGTTCTGAATTAATGTGGACTGAATACAGAAGCAGCATAAAAGAAGTACACTGAGGTGATTTGGCCGTATAGAGAGAACAGAAGAGAATAGAATCCCCCAAAAACTATATAAAGGAACAAGTGAATAGGTGGAGAGGAAGGAGAAAACCAAGAAAGTTGTGGTTGGACGGACATGATGGGATCCTCAAAATGAGGGAGATGTGAAGTTTAAAGAACAAAAAGTAACGTATTAGGCAGGGTGTATAAGTACCACCACCATCAGTTTGGTGTAGTGGTTAAGGCACCAGGCTAGAAACTGGGAAACTGTGAGTTCTAGTCCTTCCTTGGGTACAAAGCTACTGGGTGACCTTGGGCCAGTCACTCTCTCTCAGCCCTAGGAAGAAGGCAATGGCAAGCCACTTCTGAAATCTTGCCAAGAAAACTTAAGGACTAGTCCAGGCAACACTGACTAGAAGGCACCGCCCCGCTCCAAAAAAAGAGTATGTAGTGGAAGCAAGGATGATTTTCAAGGGTAGAAAAGTGTGACGTATAAAGAGATAGAGTGAATTGTGTTGGTGAAAACTAAATTCAGTTATGTTTCTTTTTCTTATCTTCTTAGTCCAGTTTCTTTTGCTTACTATTACTTTTTTTTCCTCTGTTTTGCATAACATTGCTTATTCCAGAAGGGAACAGTGCATAGAGTATGTGTGCTTGTACAGAGTATATTTTCAACCTTGCAGTGAAGAGAGCTATATTTCCTTTCTATTTTCAGATTGCAGACGGAGTAGACACCAAATCGCTACATATACAGTGGCTAAGATCTAGACTGGGCCTTGTGCAACAAGAACCGATTCTGTTTGACTGCAGTATTGCAGAGAATATCCAATATGGAGATAACAGCAGAATTGTTAGCCAGGAAGAAATTGAAGAAGCAGCTAAAGCAGCCAATATTCACGATTTTATAGAAAATCTCCCAGAGGTATCTAGCATCTTTTTTCTGCATGAGATTAATTATCCCAGTTTGCACAGATCTCTGCTGTGAAGTAAGGCTAATGACCAGGGGAAAAAAAAACAAACCCGAACAAACAAAAAGTAAGGCTATATTTTGAAATTCAACTGATAATTTTTCTTCTTATAATTCAGGTACCATAATTTCATTTGAGATCCATAACTTGGACCTTGGAAACAGTGGAGGGAACATATCCCAAAAGGAGGGTTACCAGACATCCAGCAAATGGAGGATATAATAATCTTAAGGACATGTCCTCCTTTTCGTCCTGATATCCTCCATCGGGCAGGTGTAGCCTTAAAATCAATATTTCTGAGTGTCTTTGGGTTTTTCGGACTGTTTTCACATTGAAACTTTCATGTCTTATGACGTTGTAAATTATCTGCTTCTTTCTTTCCCTAGTCTGTTGACAGACTTAAGAGTCTAGTCTTTAGATCACATGACTCATCATAAATTTCTAGGGTGAAATTTGAAAATCATCATCATCAATTCTATATTATCACTAGCATATGTTCTTGAAGATAAAGATTTGTTGGAAAACTATTGTGAAACCAGTCTTTCTGATGCTGGAGAAAGTCATTTCATATACATATAATCTTATGGACTTTTTTTTTTTTTTGATAGTTTTTTGCTGTAATTTTTGTCATGGATGCCAAAAAGTCAAAACTCCTTCCCCCCCCCCCCCCTTTTCCTCCTTCTAGTTGTCCATGTCCTCCTTTACCTATTAAGATATCTGGTAACCCTACCCAGAAGGAACCCTGTTTACAAGTGAAAATAATGTCTAGACAAGAACTGATGCACCACTGTAATGATTTTTATTGTATTTCAGCAAGCCTAACGTAAGACAGACCCTTTCTCATATGTGACTTTAATTTTTAAAAAATGCATTGCTATTTTTGTTTTGCAACAGGTACTTGAAAGTAATAACTTGATACTTACCTGGTGACATTCAGTAACTTTTTAAAACAAGGGGGGGGGTGTTGACAATCTCTTACGTATTTTACTGAAGTTGTTAAATGTCTACTTTTTTAAGCTCAGCTGAACTGAGGTAGGTCAAAGGGAATTGGCTGATTATTCTCTTCAGTTCTCTCATTCATATAACAGTGCTACATACTGTGAAATGTAGGTATATTAGTTTATTTTCAATGAAAATTCAGTGCTCCTACTTGACTTCTTTATTAAGAGTAGTTAAGGAATATTTGATGTGATCTTTCCATATAAAAATGAAAGTGCAGGCTTCTTCTTTTAATTGTTCAGTGGACTGACTTGTTTTAATATAATTCTCTTAGATTATGAAAATAAATATTTCAAGTTTTATGTGAGCCAGCAAACTATTGTTGACATTCCAAACTCACTACATTTCTCTAAGAAAGTGCTTCCAAGCCACTGATCCTCTAGAGCAGGGTTTCTCAACCTTGGCAACTTTGAGATGTGTGGACTTCAACTCCCAGAACTGAAGCATGCTGGCTGGGGGATTCTGGGAGTTGAAGTCCACACATCTCAAAGTTGCCAAGGTTGAGAAACCCTGCTCTAGAGGAGTGAGAATTCTTGTCCTAGAACCCAAGCAACAGAATTTTTTTTAATGCCAGTCAAGAATTTGCAATACAATTAGAGGAGTACCAAGTTGAAGATGTTTCTATTCCTGTGAAAAATTACAAAACTGTATTTTAAAGATTAGGCTGTTGTCCTATTAAAGTGCATCTTATTAATGCTACTTACATTCGTTTTTCCTTCCTAATTTACAAACTGTCTATACTTGATATTAGAGTTATGCAAACTATCTTAAGACTCTGTGTTGACTCTCTTACAATACCAATAGTGTTCTCTTTTTAAAAACAGAAATACAATACTCGAGTGGGTGATAAAGGAGCACAGCTTTCAGGAGGGCAGAAGCAAAGAATCGCTATTGCTCGTGCTCTTGTGCGAAAACCTGCAGTTCTGCTTCTAGATGAGGCCACATCAGCTCTGGATACAGAAAGTGAAAAGGTAAGTAAAACCACAGCTGACTTCCTACCTCATATATAAGCAATTGGCCACTAGTTGAAAAATGATCTAAACTGGAAAAAAAGTGCATCTCTGGTGCCATTATAAAGATATTTCCCTTTTGCCTTTGACTGCAGATTGTCCAGAAAGCATTAGATGATGCTCGAAAAGGCCGAACCTGCATTGTTATTGCTCACCGACTGTCAACAATCCAGAATTCTGACGTCATAGCAGTCATCCAGAATGGCAGAGTAGTAGAACAAGGAACTCACAGCCAGCTGCTGGCATTGGAGGGATTTTATTATGCGCTTGTCAATGCCCAAGTACCCCAGTAGTTGTATTGATAGAGCCAGAAACAAAAGTTTTTGAGAAGTTAGACCAAAATGCAATATTACAAACCACTATTCAGCAAGTCCAAGGCAGGTTTGGGTTTTCAAAGAGCAATCCACTGTGCCACATTGAAACTGAAGCACCAATAATATGGTGGAAGTGGGTCTCTTGTGCACGAATTACACTTTTCATTCATTTTAATTTTTTTTTTTGCACAACCCATTGAGCACACTAAAAAGAATTCACTGAATCAATATGAAGATTGCTGTTCCATGTTCCATTATCAAGGAATTCTCAGGTGCATGCATAATATTTTGGCTATTTGCATGAAGATACTTATTTATATGTTGCTGTGTTGCACATGTGTTTTTTATTATAATGCTGATGGTAACTTATGTAAGAGTAATAGAAATGTTGAAAAAACTAGTAACTCCATAATGAAACTCAGTGGGGTGGTAAAGTAGTTCTGAAAGTAATCAGCCCGGTCCTACTGAAAATATCTTCTAAATATAGACTTCCAAAATAATTCATTTAGAAAATCAAAGTCCAAAAGTCCAGGAAGCAGAGAGCAAGTGATAGCCAAGGTGCCGGTGGAACATACATCTCCTCAAAATGTTAAACTTCAAGAAATAATAAAAAGAAAACATCCTTAAAAAATCTAAATAGTGCATGATGTCTCTTTTTCTTCTTTATTCAAAAGGGGCAAACCAGGAAATAAAAAATAATTTTCTACTGGCTTTACAGAAAACAAACTGATATCATTTTATTTGTAATTGCCACACTAGACTGAAACAATAGTGACACCAGTTAATGTCAGAATGATATTTCTGCTAGTATAATTTTGAAAATTATGTTCTGGTTCCTCTTGATAAGGGATTCTGCATGTTGTAATTTGACTCCTGCTTAGTCATACATTGTAAATTTTCAGGAATCTTTTTTTTTTTTTTTTGGTCTTTCTTACAGTTCTTTCAGAATCTCACTAGCATAGGAGTTTAATGTCTTTGCTTTATATTCCTCAGCTTTAGAATGGAGTGTAACTTTATCTCCAGTATTAGCTTTGTAAGCTAGTATTAGAAGTCAGGAGACTTTCCCAGAGGCTTCGGTTAAACTACAGTTTCTGATTGTTCTCTTTAACTATGTTCTACTTGTTGCACTCCACAAGAGGTTTGCAATTTAGTATTCTATTAAGCAAGACATAGGAAGCTTTGTAGTATCACAAGAGAATCAATTGTCCCTTGGAACAATGCTATCAACATTTATCAAGGATGCCCATAATAAAAATGTTGGTCCCATCAAAACAGCCATAATTGTTCAATATCTGGCACTATGGCACTATAATTTTGAACTCAAAGACCAAGACAAAATAATTAACACCAAGGGCTTTGAAAAACTCTATCATGACCATAACGCAAACTGAAAATATACTTATATGCATTATATATACTGTACTTTAATAAGGTACTCAAAACTTCACTATGCCTAATCAATATCCTCTGGAAAAAAAAATCTATCCATGGGGCCACTAAGAGTTGCCACTGACATGTTAGCACTTAATCAATCAACCAATAGGTTGAAACTTTTAATTACTGTATTAGTCATTATTTTATATAAATTATACACATAATTTACATAATTAATAGGGAATATTTTCAAATGATAAATCAATTACCAGCCTATTTTTAGAATCACTGTGTGCAACTTTGGGGGAGACTTGGAGATTCAAAGACCCCTTAATTTTAAGGGGACATAATGTGAAAGATTCGTTTTCCTACTCCTATGTAAACTAACTTACTACTTGGTATATCTGCAGCCTGTCCTGAGTGCCATCTCAAGCTAGCATTCCATTGTGAATTTCCTCTCCTTTATGCAATACCCATCACAGCTCATGTGGCTGAAAACAAGTTTTGTCCATTGCCACCAACCTCTTCACTCTCCCACCAAAGAAATCTTCCTCTTTAGAAAAATGATATAATGCTGATTATGGTGGGGAGGCCATAATGAGTAGGGGAGGCCCTACTTATGGTGGGGAGGCCATAATTTACTCAAAGTAAATGGGCATATATGATCAAGAGATAGAAGGTGGTAGTTTATCTTATAAAGGGCAAATCAGCCCAGGTGGTGAGAAACTGAGGAAGAAGCATTTCAAATCATTCAAAAAGACTCTGCTTTGATAAACTCTGCTATGAATGAGAGTTGGAAATTCCTCTTGTAGTTTCCAATATTTTGTATCTTCCCCCAAGACTAGCACTAAACATGCCTTGCTCAAGTCTGTGTAATTCTTGTTTCCTTGAACTTGCCCAGTTTTGTGGGGCTTGATAATTACTATGTTTGCAACGATGTTTCAACACTGGAAAAATAACTGTTGAACTGGGTAGTACAAGATACAGAGACATAAAAAAGAGGAATGCAATTACATGCAATGGGTGTTAAAAACAAATTAAAAAACCCTTTGCCCATGATATACACTGACATTCTTGAACTTGGGTGTTTGTGAAAGACTATGTGATACATCTGCCAATGTGAGTGCTGAGAATTGCAAACTAGGCTGGAGGAGGAGGAGATAATGATAATGACAGGTAACAAAATGTGAATTGTGATGTCATAACATGAGCTCTGTTCTTTCATACTTGCATGATGGTGTCACATAAAAGTATGTAAGGGATAGAGTTTGCATCACAACATTGCAATGGGTGCTTTGTCCCTTGCAGACTCCCATATGTGAAAGGAGAATAAAAGAATGAAAACTATTACATAAAGCCCAGTTAGTAATGTATGGCTGTGAGAGCTGGACCATAAAGAAGGCTGAGCGCTGAAGAATTGATGCCTTTGAACTGTGGTGTGAGAGCTGGACCATAAAGAAGGCTGAGCGCTGAAGAATTGATGCCTTTGAACTGTGGTGTGAGAGCTGGACCATAAAGAAGGCTGAGCGCTGAAGAATTGATGCCTTTGAACTGTGGTGCTGGAGAAGACTCTTAAGAGTCCCCTGGACTGCTAGGAGGTCAAACCAGTCAATCTTAAAGGAAATCAACCCTGATTGCTCATTGGAAGGACTGATAATGAAGCTCAAGCTCAGATACTTTGGTCACCTAATGCGAAGAGAGGACTCCTTGGAAAAGACCCTGATGCTGGGTAAGATTGAAGGCAAAAGGAGAAGAAGATGGCAGAAGATGGGATGGTTAGATAGCATCACTGAAGCAATGAGCATGAAACTGAGCAAACTCAGGGAGGCAGTGAAGGGCAGGAAGGCCT